CTCTGCTTTTGTGAAAATAGGACAGGAATTATAATAGGTGACTTTTAGATGGTAATGAGTTCTTTAGGACAGTAATGACTGCCCCGTCTGTCCTAGTTTCCTCTCCCCTAAGGAAGCTTATTAACAAGAACACTTCCTCTTCAGGAGCAGTTTCTAGCCTCTGTTTTATAAATGTCTTTTTCCAAATCATTGACCTTTTTCGAATTCATCTGTACTGGTGTTACATATGGTTGGTGGATTCTGCTGGTGTTTTATTCCTAGCCCACCCGAACATCTAGGAATCTGGCTTCAGAGAGCTTGACCAGTGTCTCAAGATGGTTCCCTTTTCCCCACAGACTATGAGACCATTCTCTTGTGAGTTAATAACCCTCCCTGATCTAATACAGTCAAATTATTTATCTGCTTCTATGGCTGCTTGTCAATAGTCTCTAGAGAAAGGAGGGGAAAAGTTACTTACTCTGGATTGTTCAAACTGTTGAGTATAATTGTGGCCCTGAAGACAAAGTGGAAACTGGGATTCTTCCATTCTGTTGATTCTCTTTCCAATTCCAACAGGAGCTTTCTCATGTCTGGTTCTGACCTTAGGCCACATCATGGACATCCCCAGTATACCTACTTTCTAGGCTTAAAAGGGAAGTTTTGGTTTTCTCCCCACCTACCATCCACTCTTAGTTTTCATGAAATCGGTAATGTATCAGAATCTTTTGGAATCTAGAAAATGTAGAAACAGTGCTTGATGAGGTACAGCTGGTATCCTCTTAGTTTAAAGGAAGAAGCCAAAGAGAAACAACACAAGACATGCCACACTTGAACTCTGACTTTTCCATGTTGCCCAGGACAGGGGTCTCTGAAGACCCGGTGTTCTTTTTCTTCTGGGGTCTGGAGTCAGAAATTCTTTCAACATAAACACACCCCTTTAGTCACACACAAGTAGTTAGCAATATTTTCTCAACTGCTAGCCACTGCCTGTCTGGGCATGAGAAGTCGGGTCCTAGAGAAGGGAGTCCTTCAGAAAAGAGCTGAAACTAAATGGGGCGGAGGAAGACTTTGCTGGAGAGACCAAGAAGATCGAATCACCTACCTGTAGACCTTCCTGGTTACACTCTAGTGGGCTCCTGTTCCTCTCCTATCAGTCCCTGAGGCCAGAGCATGTTTCGTAATCCAAGGAGTGGTTTGTGTGAACGGCCTGGAGTCTGGCTCACATTCCTTCCACCTGGAGCCAGATGATGAGCCCTTGTGCTGGTCAGTTAGGGCCTTCACTCTGCCTTCTCCTCTTGTTAGACAGTCCCTTGTGCCCCTGGGAGGAGGAGTTGGAGGAGGAGACCCATACATTGGTAACCTGTGGGCATGCTGTGTGCTCCCTGACCCGCGGGTGGCCTCTGATGTGTGAACACAGTGCTGCGTCACATTTCTGGGGAGCCCGACAGCCCTGCTGGAAAGCTGCGCCTTCCGACCCCGTTTGGCTTCTGCCCTGCCTAAAGCTTCCTGCTGGCCTAAAGGCACAGATGTTCTGGGCGCTTCGTTCACCGCCGCCTCTGGACCTTGCCCTTCCTGCGCGTGTCCCAAAGCTGCCCCCGTCCTGTGGTCCTCCTGTGGGAGCTCGAGGCCCCTTTCACCTGTCCCTGCTTCTTTAAGGCTTAGGCACTGCTTTCTCCATTCATCGTTCCCATGACCCAGCAAGTGGGGTTTTTTGAGATATAAATCAAATGCTTAAAATTCACTCTTTTTAAAGTATATACTTCAGTGGTCTTTAGTATATTTACAAGTTTGTGCAACTATCACCACTATCTAATTCCAGAATATTGTCATCGCCCCAGAAAGAAACCCCATCCCCATGAGCAGTCATTTCAGATCCCAGCCCCTGGCAGTCGTGAATCTACTTTCTATCTCCCTGGGTGTGCCCAATCTAGACATTTCATAGAAATGGAATCCTAGCACGTGTGGCCTTTGTGTCTGGCTTCTTCCAGCCCAGGCAGGCGGCTCTCTGTGCTGTTTATAGGGCATAGTAAGAGGCAGAGAGCATGAGCTGGGCATAGTCCCAAGAAATTGCCTTTGTGTTGAAGATACGGGGACCATAAATCTGCATTCCGTAAATTAATGTGAGAATCTTAGGGATGGCTCCCAGAAGCTAGACCAGAAACTCATGGATTGATTGGTTCTTCTCTTCCTGTTTAAGATGACAACTGGAGCTTCACAATCCCTTAGCCCACTGGGCTGAGATTTCTTTGTAGGGGCCCGTCCTTGACCCCAGCTCTGCCTTCCCTGACATACCTTTCCTGACCCACCCACCCCCACAGCCACGTACATACCTTGTAGGGCCCTTGGCATGCATATCACACTGCTACCCTTGAAGAGGTGGGAAAGGGCTAGGCATGTGAGCGTGGGGAGAGGGCAGGAGGGCTGGTGGAACAGCCGGGAGAGGGACACGCATGCGATGTCACTGCATGGCTGCTTTGGCCCTCGTTGCAGGAGTCGCCCCAGGCAGCCTGCGGAAGGCCTTCCTCTGCTTGGGACAGCCCTCCCCAGGGCTGACTCAAAATGGTTTGGGCCTGGGAGATTCCTGGGAACTGCCAAGAAAAGAAAAACACTACTCTTTACGAAGCCAGGGTGTATTTAATTTCAACAACCCGGTGATGAGAAAATGCATGTTGAGTACTTGATTTCTCAAGTTTTACACAACAAACTTGAACCCCATTGTGTCTGTCTCGCTATATTCAAACCTGTGCAGTTTCCACACAGGAAAGCAAACACGTGGCTTGCACCCTGCCCTTAGATTCTCTGCACCTAGAAAGTCTGTTCCATGTGTTCTTGGATCTCTGCCCCACCCCCCTCTTTAAAATACGGGCCTCTCTGGACCAGACGGCGGAGCCCCCTTTGCATGGCTTCAGGCTGAATGTCTGCTACAGAGTCGGAAAGGGATTAGAAATCAGGCCTTCTGTGGACAAGCTCTCTCATGTCCTCTCTTTGCAGCCAACAGGAAGGCTGGCTGTGCAGTCACATCCCTGCTAGCCTCGGAACTGACCAAGGACGACGCCATGACTGCTGTTCCTTCCAAGGTTGCCAAGAACAGTGAGGGAATCCCCACAATCCTGGAGGAAACCAAGGAGTTGGTTGGCCGTGCAAACTAAGCTGGGTCCCGTGGCCACAGCAGCTCCCCGGGGCACCCGGGACTGTCTTGCCCTGCAGCCTGTGCCTAAAGGGTCACGGAAATAGTCCTCTGGGGTGGTTGCTCCCACTACGCTGACCCTTTTACTCTGGCCCGCCGCGCTCTGTGCGTCACACACGCTTCAACCTGGAGGCCCCCAGGAACGGGCAGGGGGGGAGCGGGGGAGGCCCGAGCCCGAGCCAGCCAGCCCTGGCCGTGTGTATTACCAAAGCAGGCTCCGTGGTTGCTGCCTTAACCCCAAGTGTCTCCTCTCTGTCACCGAGGCCTTGTCTCAGACCAGGCCCCACCTGCTCTCCCAGCCCCCGCCTTTCCAGTGGGCTTTCATTTCACCTGGGTCAATCTTGCTGGGTTTGTGCTTTTCTTTTGTGGTTTCTCCAGCTCTGAGAACAGCATGGGGCTTGTGAACCTTCGGGCTCTATCCCTCCTTTCATTGCTGTCACCTCTGCTCTGCTCTTCCCTCTCCTGGTTATTGTTATTTATTACTAGTGGTGTGACAGTGGGAGCCATGCCTAGAGAAGTGGGGAGCAAACCCCACCCTTACTGCACCTTCCTGGGAAAGGCCTCCCAGAACAAAAAGGACCTACCTGGACCACTTGATCTATTCCACTGCAGCCAAGAGTCTGTGGGGAGGCAGGGTACAGAGACATTGTGGGACCTGTCCCCAGCCTGCTGCCATGTTTGAGGACCCTGCCTCTGTGAACTCTCTACCCCTGCCCCAGGCTACCCAGCCACGGTCACTCCTCACACCTTCCCCAGAGCTTTGGTGCATCTCATCTGGAGTATGGGCTGTACTGTGACCATCCCAACACCTCACCCTCTGTCTCCAAGGAAATGGGAGGTGGAGCCTCCTGGCTGAGAAATTGTTTTGCAAATGGATCTATTTTTATATGAGATTTTTTTTTTTTTTTTAAAGAAAATATTCCTTCCCCCTTCCCCTTCCATAATGTAAGAGGCTCTGATGGCAGGTTCCAGCGACCCTGGGCTTTCTCCCCACAGGCCTCAATCCTGAGCAAGACCCTGGACCTCCACGTCAGCCCTAAAGCCTTCTGGGCCCTTGAGGCCCTCTCTCCCATTATCCAGTTTTGGGGCAGGAGGAAGCTCTTCTCTGGTAGAGCTGGACCAGGCCTGAGAATAGTGGGAGCTCTGAGACCACAGAGTTTTTATAAATTTAATATATTTATCAAGCCAAATGTGCAAATGCTAACTGGGCAAGGAAGCACACGAGTGTGGCCACGCGGCATGCCCCGCTCCCTTCTGAACAGTGGGCAGGCCAAAACTGTTCAGTCGCCCCCGCTCCAGGAAGCTCAGACTCTTTGTCCTCCTTGTGCTTTTCGCTTCCCACCACAGGTAGGGGGAGAGGATGACACGGTTAGGGCTTGACCCAGAATGGGAGTTGGTGGAGCACAGGGGGACCTTAGGTGACCTAAGGGTTCCTGCAGGGAGGGCTTCAGGCCAGGAACTGGGGTGCTGGTTGCTACAGCTGCCTGTGTGTGAAGGGGCGACAGCAGCTCCTTTGAGCTCTTCCCTGGAAGGTGGGGGGAGGGGGGAGGCTGCCTCCCTGGGTCCCTTCCTCCTCCCTCCTCCCTGCTGACATCTGGGGCTTTGACCCTTTCTTTTTTAATCTACTTTTGCTAGGATGCATTTAATAAAAAATTAAAAAAAAAAATGCAAACCTGTTTCCCTTGCCTCTTGGGCTTCTGGGATGTCATCACCTCCAGTGTATTGGGTTTGTTTCCAACTGTTAATAAAGCATTGAAACAGTACCACCACCTTACCGCCTCCTCTGTGAGTCGAAGCTGTTTTCCAAAGCCCTGTTTGACCTGACAAATCCGTGTCAAAGAGTTGAAGGTGCCTATCGTAGGTGTGCCAAACACCCTGCTTCGGCTTCTGCCCTTGCATTTGTGGGCCCTAAAGAAATGGGGCCACGGTTCTGCCCCACCCCTGCCTCTGCGTTGCTGCCTGGGGGCTTGGCCCCCCACCTCCTCACGCCCCCACTGTGTGCCTCCTATGAGCAGACTCCGAACAGAGAGCAGAGGCCCGAAGAGGACCACAAAACCATTCGGACAGGCTCTAGACCGGGAAATAAAAGCCTTTTAAAGAGCCCTGGAGCCTGGGCAGCTGGCTGCCCATCTCGGTGGGGGCTGGGGGGTGGGCTGCCTGCCTCCTTCCCCACCGGAGGCCACGCGCTTCTGGCTCAGAGCTTTACAGGCGCACATACCAATTAGGGGACCAACCACAGCTGCTCACGCGCTCTGCCAGTCTCTGCCGGCCCGGAATAGAAGCCAGGCAGCCAGCGCCCCGCCCCTGCAGCCTGGCTCGCAGAAACACAACCCTGCTGCCATCGCGAACCGCGCACACCGCCCTTCCTCCCACGCAGGAGAGTCGCCTCCAGATGCCTGGTTGGAAGGCTTGGTTTCCATGACGACAGGCTTCGGGGAGCCGGCGGAACACGTGACCCGGCTGAGACGATGCGCAGAGGAAGCCCAGAGACCGCCTCCGGCCGCCGTGCGGTTAGGCATCCCCTCACTGACCGCCCCCCCCCCCCATAACCCCAGTGGGTCTGTGTTCCTGCCCTTCCGCTCCGCCTTCTCCCCTCCTCTGTACTTCCTGCAGCTCCTCTGGCTGCAGCAGCCTCGAATCCCACTGTGCTTCAAGGAAGCGGGGAGGGGAGGAGGGGAGGGGAGGACGCCTAACTGAAGAGCGAAAGGAAAAGCAGGGGGAGGGGGGAAGGGAAGGAGGGAGGACGACCTGGGTCTGCGGGCAATCTCACTTCCTGCACACTTTTCAACCCCCTCGATACCACGGCCCCCTCCCCAGTGTCAGGGGTGAACCTTCCAATCTCCTTGGCTTTGCTGCAGGGAGTGGGAAGGTGAATTCCAGATGGGTAAACTGAGGCGCAGGCTATTGTTGACTGGGCCTTTGGAGAACCGCCTCCGGCATGCCCTCCCCCCCCATAGTGTTCCCAGACTCACTAGGCAGCGGGGCTGGCGGGGAATGGGCAGAGGAGAATCCACCCTCCTCCGGAGAAGCCCACAAGGGCGCTCGGGCTGTTCATTTTAGCAGGGAAGGGGCGGGAAGTGAGGAAATGCCCCCTCCCGGCTTGCAGCCTTTCCAGCCGGCGCCCACACACTCCCGCCCCCGCCCCGGAGCGTCCTCTTCCGCCGGGAGACCGGCGCCGGGGCCCGGGGACCGTCCGGGAGACGGCGCGAGCACGCAAACGCCACACACCCGCACTGCGCTCCGAAACGCCCGCCTCCACAACAGACCCAGCAGCCGATGACACACGACGGGAGACCGATCACCGCCACTTGGACTCTGTTACGTTTGCCCAGCAGCACTGCAAGCATCCACAGCCGCACCTGACAGACACAGACTCCCGAGCAACGACACAAAACCAGGGCGCGCGCACGGTCATTGCCGGGCGCTCGCGCCCTTCCTCCAGCACGCTCCGCTTGGCTCGCCGCTTCATCCGCACATGCCAGCAGCCCCCATCCCTTACACAGAACCGCTCAACCTTTCAGAAGAAACCTTTTAATTGTTTTTTTCAAAGAAAAAAAGCCATATAAATATTAGAGTATAAAACTTGCGTGAGACACAGGAAGGGCAGTGGGTGGGAAAGCTACGTGACTATGCGAAGAGAAGCACTTCTAGGAGTCAGTACCGGGGAGGGGGTCGCCGCAGCGCGAGGACACAGCACAAAACACAGCACGGGCCGCCGCAGGCGGATTCAAGGACGGACGGCTGCGCGGAGCCCTCCGCCCACCCGCCCCCACGGAAAAGCACACCGCACTACACTATTGGCTATTCTACACCAGCCGGAAGAGGGAGGGGGCTCTACACTACCGTTGGGCTGGGGTGGGGCTCTGGCGGGACTGGGGCGGGGGCGATGGGGGTGGGCCGAGAAAGGTCTATGCACAAGGAGGCACTGGGGGACTTTAACCAGGCTCTGGCCACTAGGGGGCAGACGGGGGGGGGGCGCTGGGCAGTGGCCTTCACAGAGAAGAAATGGCACCTGGCAAAATGAAGGAACAGAGGCTTGGGGAGTGTGGGGGCCCTGTGCAGGAGCCCTGATCCGGGGCTGAGACTTCCTGTCCACTTGGTCCCGGCTCTAGCTCCATGCCTCCCCAACCTAAGGACCAAGAATGGCCCAGCTGACCCTCCCTTGCTGCTGGGGCCACACTGCTTCTTCTACCAGTGGCACCTCTGGAGTACCCAGCACCCACAGAGGGCCCTCTGACCTCTCCAGGGGACCTGGTCCTAAACATCCTCAAACCTTCCTTTGACTGTAATGCCAGCTGAAATCCACTGATGCTAAAAGCTCAGCCCAAAGTTTACCGCCTTTGTGTGGTAAACGAGGGTCCAGCCTGGTACTTGGTTTATGGCTGGAACTGGGGATCTGGCCAGTACCCTGGGGACATACAGAGCCTTCTACAAGACCCTGATAACGGGTAAGTCAAGCTTTGTCCATCCCCCACATCCACACCCACACCCTTCCCTTCTTTATCTTGCCACCACATACTGTCTTAGAACATGCAACGGAGTCTCTCTTTTGGGGGCAGGGGAAGTCACAGCATGCAGTGGGAACATCAAACAATGAAAAACAGAACAAAAGACTGGTCCCGAGGGCTTTGGGAAGAGGCATGGTAACAAAGTGCCCTCCCTAAATCCAGCAAGCATCAGTACCATGGGAATCGTCACCATGTCTCCCAAAACTTGAACTTGGTCTTGGGCTCTGGAAGGAGATGAAAGGACTGGCACCAAACCATGCTTTGGGGGAAGTTGGAGAATTGGAGAGGCCTACAGGTTATTATGCCCTTCCAACTCTTCAGAACTATGAGCCTTTTTAGGTCACCAGGTACCTCAACACCCCAACCACCTTCCTTGAGAAAGAGGGGCCGCTGAGGGGGGTGGGGTGGGTTGGGCAGGAGGGAGGCAGGGGATGGTAGATGGGCCTGATTAAATTTGGAAGATGGCAGAGTTCAGCTGTAACTAAAGGGGGTGTGATAAATGGTGTCTACACGAACCCCACTACCCCCATGGGCACAGCAATTGATTGGACGGGGGTTCCCAGCAGAACTCCCTTTGCATATTCAATCCCTTGGGGGCAGACAGGGGGGTGTTGACTGGGCACTTGTTTCTGTTTCCCAAGGGGAGCATGGCCTGGATCCCTACCAGTATCTTGGGGGTGAGCCCTGAAAATCCGAGGCCTGGGTACAGGTAAGGAGAGACTGGGCTGGTCGGGGAGGGAAGCTGCCCTGTGGCTCTGGGCCCGGCCTCCACGTTACTTCTTCTCCTTTTTGCCTGACTTCTTCTTGTTGCCATTGCCACCTGCAGGGGCCTTGCCGTCTCGCTTGCCGGCCGCGCTGGTCAGCGTGGCATTGCTGCCCGGGATGTAGACGTTCTGGCGGTAGTCGGGCACGTGCTGCAGGGTAAACTGAGGCCCGTAGCGGGCACTTAAGCCCATGGTGCCGGCGCCCCCTCCCAGGGTGGAGCTCCCATCAGCAGCTTCTGCAAGAGACAGAGGAAGGTCAGGAGCTAAACTCTGGGTCCCCAACAGTCACTCTGTTAGAGCACAGCCAGTTAATGAAGGCCTGCCAAGCACCGGCCCCGACCCCGCCAAGCCCTGGGAACGTCCTCTCTCTTCACAAGGGGCAGATGTAAGTGAGACAGCCCAGATTTGATTCCCAGCTCTCTTACCTACTAACTGATTTGGGCCAAGTCTACCTACACTCCTCAGTTTTCTGATCTGTGAAGCAGGTTAAAAGTAGCATCTACCTCTTCAGGTTCTGGTTAAGGCTGACCAAGATTATGATGTATATAAAGCACCCAGAAGAGTGCCTATTACGCGGTAAGGGCTTAAAACATGCTAGCTGTTACTTTTCTCAGGGCTGAGGTAAAAGCTCTCAAATCCTTGCCCTAACCCTTCTCCAGGGAGCCCCTCTGGCAGCCACACCGATCAAGGGCTCCTGGGGGGCTGTAACCAGGACCTGCTGGTCCTCCTATCCTCGGGCCAGCGCCCACAGCGCGGGTATTGGGCAGTTCTGTAGTTAGTGTGGGCTTAGGGAGTGCACGGGCACGACGGCTTTCACCTCCCTAAGACAACCCAGCGAGATAGGGGTATTTATCCCCACTTCACAGATGAGGAAAGCAAGGCCCAGAGAAGGTGAAAGACCAACTCAAAGCCCTAGCAGGCGGCACGGGTTAAAGCCGGGGCGGCCGCGTGTATTTAAGCATCCACTGTCCACTGTCGGGCGGAGTCACCACCCACCGCCCCCAGCAGCGTGGACCCCGTCCCTCTGCGGAGAGCGGAGCGGGAGGGAAGGCAGGGCTGAGCAGTGTTCTAGGAGGCGAAGAAGACGCTCCCGGGAGCAGCCGGCGGAGGAACGATGCAGACACAGGCTCACAGTTTCAGGGCTGGGTGACGCCAGAGGACACCTTGAGCCCCGCTTCCCACTGGGCCCAAGAAGAAATGGGCTCTAGGGAAGTAAAATGCGGGCTCCAGCTCCACATCACCTGGGCGCTTGCTGGAAGAGGAGGCTCAGAATCTGCATTTTAACAAGATTTCCAAGTGATTTTGATGCATACTGAAGGTAGAGAAGCACAGACTCGCTCACCTCCCTGGGTTTTTGCGAGGCTTAAATGAGACAATGCTTGGTGCGCGCCCAGGCACGCGCTGAGTGCTCCGTGGGAGGCGCGGCCGCGGCCGCTTCACGGCCACACGCGGTGTGAGCGACCTCCACTCCACACGCTCCCCGACTGGGCCGGCAGGCAAACCAGGACTTCCCACGCCGCAGCCTGAGCCCACCAGGGCTCCTGCGGGACTCGTCTGGCAGCGGGAAGGTTAAAGCCCCGGGAATTCCCGGCCCCGGCTGGCAGATGAGCTCTGCTCCCGGCCTCCCTTTACTCCACCCTAGACCCTGGGAGTGGGCAGAGAGGGTGACTAAAGCCGGGGAGGCTGACTAATCCTGGGACACTAACCAGGGATTGAGAAACAGACTGGAACTATTTTCTAGACCAGCACAGAGGGGGAGGGGAGAGGAGACAGGAACAGAGACAGGAAAGAGGAGCCCCCGTCTTTCTGCTCCCCCCCCACCCCCACCGCTCCAGTGCTCAGATTTCTACAACCTCCATTCCAAGTCCCAAATCCCAGGATGTGAGGGCTTTGGGGGCATGTGTGAAAGAGAGGCTGGGTGGGAGGGAGCAGCTGCCCACTTCCTTCTCCTTCCCTAGGCTGGTCCCCTCCCCCAGCCCCTTCATTTCACTGACTTTTCCATGTTTTCCCTAATTAACTCCAGGAGGGAGCCAAGCTCACCCTCCCCTCCAGCATCCCTCATCCAGCCTGGGAAGGGAGGGGAAGGGGGCCCAGATTCTGCTTCAAAGAGCTAGGATTCCAGAGTGATTTAGGGGCTAAAGGGGAGACTTCAGAAGCTCCAGAGAGAGAGAGAGAGAGGGAGACACACACACACAAGAAAGGGAAATAAATGGGGAGAAACAGGAAGAAGGGAGGCAGGAACAGAAGGGCATGAAGGGCTTGACTGGGTAACTAGAGGCCAGGCCCACCCACATCCTGCACGCCCCTAGATCTCTAAGGAGCACCCCAAGGGGGTGGAAATGACAAAGCCAGTTGTTGCCACCTCTCACCAGAAGCACAGGCCTGATGTTGGCCCACGTCCTGTGGGAGGGGGGCACTGAGGTTGGGCTGGACCAAGAAGGGAGATGATGTGCAAACTCAGTGCCTAAGACAAAAAAGGCTGACACGTGAGTTCCTTCTGGTCAGCTCGGCCACTAAAAATACTGCGTGACCTTGGCAGAGGCCCTGCATGATTCAGGCCTCTGTTTCCCCGTCTATAAATCTGAGAGGGAGAAGGTAGACTGTAGACTGATTCTATAGAAGGCTCTGGCCTTCTGTAGAATCAATTCTTCAGTGGCCCCTCCTTCTACTCCTCCAACACACACAGTGAGCAGGGACCGAGATCTTTTCTATTCCTAAGAGAAACATTCTTTTTTTGGAAGCAAGAAAGGGGTGCCTGGCTGGCTCAGTCAGTGAGCATGCGACTCCCGATCTCAGGGTTGGGAGTTTGTGCCCCGTGTTGGGTGTAGAGATTACTTAAAAATAAAATCTTCAAACCGAACCAAAGCAAACAGCTCTGGCATGAAGGTGGGAGCAGCTCTGGCCTCCTCTCCAGCTCCTGGCACCCGAGCCCCCTCCCCCCTTTGCCCTTCCCACCCCAACCCAGGGCTGAGACAGCACCTCCAGACAGGGAGGCCTGGTCAAGCTAGACGAGGGCCAGTTGAACCACAAACCAGAGCCTCCTTGAAAACACACTTCCCCCCCAAATGTTTATTTAAAAAGCTTCCCAAGTGTACTTACTTTCCTTCTTACTTACTCCCCCTCAGCAGGCCCTAGCTCCAGGCTGGGCTGGACTCCAGGACCCTTTCCAGGCTTCGGGGCAGGAAAGCGGGTGTGAAAGTTGAGAGTAGGGCCTGACCCTGCCACTTCAACCCTCTGGGTCCATTCCCCAAGGCCCAAGCTTATGCTCAGGTCAGCTGCTGTGTGGGCCAGGGGGCTGGAGCCCTGACAGGGGAGCCAGCTGGCAGTGACCCAGGAAGTTTGTGGGCCATAAATACTGATTCCATTTCTGTTTTTTAAATCTGGATTCAGGCCAGAAAGCCTGCTTCCTGGCCTTAACACTAAAAACCACAACAGCTAAATATACCTGTCTGTTTACTTTCCTCAAGAACCTGACTTGGCATCTCCTAGACCCACCCACCTGTCTCTTTCATACTCAGTATCTGGCCTCTCCAGGAGTACAGCCCCCCCCAGACCTGGCCAGCTCTGTGCCAGAAGGGTGGCCTCCCCTGGGACTTCCCTCTTCCTCTCCCCCGTCACCTACACGGGCCTGGCTTCACTCAGCCTCACAGACATCTGGGAAAGGCTTGCCAGATTTAACAAAAATAAATGCAGTGTGCCCGAATAAGTTTGAACTTCAGATTAAAAATGAGCCATTTTTTATATAGTATGTCCCAGTACTAATGTTTGGGGCCTACTTATGCTAAAATACTATTTGTTGTTTACATGAAGTTAAAATTAACTGGGCATCCTGTATTTTATCTGGCACCTCTAGTCTGAGAGTAAAGCACAACAGTAAGAGGAGTTCAGTCTCTGCTCCTACTCAGCTAAAGGGAAATGTAGGCTGCATCTAAAGGCAGACGTGGTCACTGCAGAAGAAAAGGCATGAACCTGGGAGTCGGACTGCATTAGAATCACCCATCTGCAGCTCTAAACAGGGACCTTGGAGCAAGGGATTTCTCAGTTCTCTCATCTGTCAAATATAAGTAAGTAATCACAGACAGGCCTTGCAGAGCTGGTAAGAGGATTAATTGGTACGATGCCCATCAAGTTTGCCAAGCATGTGCCCGGGACGGTACACAGGTGCAATTTTAGTGATCACTGTTCTGATTCTACCTGGTTCTCTACCAGCCCTCCGCACCTGCTAGAGGCCAGGCCTTTCACTCCACTATGTAAGCCCAGTGCCTTCATCCTCTGACAGCCTCCAAGGAAGCCTAGGATTTGCTGCTCCTGCAACTAGTCCTTATTAATAGGCATCATTCTAATTCAGCCTTCTACGGGTCAATAAGGATAAGAATTAATCAATTTCAGCCACTGCGTACCGTGCCCTTACTCTGTCATTACTGTGCTAAGGCCCTATGTTTGGCCCTCCCAACACTGTAGTAAGATCTGTCAAAGTACCTGATTTATAGTCAGTGAAACTAAGGCCCCCAGGGGCTGAGTGCCTTCCTTGAGGACACACAGCTAAGCATGGGTGCCAGGATCTGAATCCGGGTTGCCCTGCCTCCAAAGCCTGTGCTCCTAAGTACTAATATCATCCTGGTGTTCTGTTTCCCCTGCTCAGGCTGCTTTTGACTCTTCAAGGACAACAGTCATCGGCTGAATCTCTCTTGCACGTGAAGTTCTTTGTTAGCCCTCTAGGAAAATCAAAATCCTGCTCTGCAGGTGGGGGCAACAAAAAAGAGAAGGGGTCTCACAGGTCCAAGTGCATTGTCTCACACCCACTTGCATGGATGGAAGGCTTGCGTGTGCCAGGCCCACGGCTTTGTTGTCTACGGAAGCATCTCAGGTAGTCCTCACGACAACCCCCTGGAGGCCACTGCCTCCATTTTCTTGGCTGAAGAAGGGTTAGTGAGATTAAGCAAACGGATCAAATTCCCAGAGACAGTAAGTGGCAGAACGAGGGTCCCACCTATGCTGTCCCCTGCTGAAGCTGGACTCTTAACACTACCGCCTACACCCCCTCAATACATCCTTCCTTTCCCACTCCCCTCGAGGCATCCCGGGACCCTCAGCTGTTTCTCCACCGGGCTTTCTATCCAGGAATGAGGAGTCCCCTCGGAGCAGCTGAAAGATCCAGAGACGCCAGGCAGGTGGATGGCCAGTCTTGAGGCCTGGCGGCTGCGGACCACCCCAAACCCCACACCCAGAGGGGCACAACTCACCACTGGCAGAGGCCAGGATCATGGCCTGCAGCATCTCTGTGTCAAACTGGTTGTTGGGCCACGTGCCGGTCTCATCGCCATTCTGGGAGCTGCCGAAAGAGTGGGGTGGTGGTGAGTACAGCCTCTGGGGCCAGCCCAGGCCACGCCCCTCCTGTCCTCTCCCAGGGAACGCAGATCTAGCACCCTGGGTCTCGGTCCCATGCAAAAAGATGGCCCGTAGGATCGGAACGTGTCATGTTTGCAAACCCTTTGGAAAAATTCCTCTGCTGAGCACACTTGCTTGCCTTGCACCATCTATAAAAATCAAACCTTTTCTGAGGCACTTCCCTAATTCCTCAAGCTCCCTCTCACAGCAAATCCGGTACGGACACTGTTCTCTAGAGTGCCAGTTCCCAACCTCTGCTTTGGTAACATGAATAAAATTGGTCAGAGGGGATGCCTGAGCCCACCCGGACCAGCCCCGGGGGCGTCCGCATGGCAGCCCCAGCGGCCCTTCTCCTGGTGGTGTAGCTGTGTGCGGTGGGGCAGGGTCTGCCTGCCTCCCACTGAAGCACCTAGTTACCACCTTTAGACACTCCAAGCACTGAGGAAAACATGAGGTGCTCGATAACTGTTAAAAATGCTAACCTCTAGAGGACCTGAAGGAATTCCAACCCAACTTGGATTTTTCCCACAGTGACTATTTCCCTGCTTTGTTGGAATTTGGAAGTATGACATTTTTTCTGGGTTTTTTTTGGGGGGGGGCACCCTGACACACACACACAGTCTATTAGGTGATCCTTGGCACCCTTTGGCACCCAGAGTTCCTCAATAAATATTTCTTGCCTGAATGAATGGGAAAAAATCCACGGAGAGAGTTAGGTCACTATGAGGGAAGGATTTGGCACCCGGGGAGTGGCTGCAGGGCAGGCCTTGAACACGTGGTGGGGGAGGGGGGAGCACAAGAGAGTGAACACGAGTGAGCGCGAGCAAGAGCACGTCTGTGCATTCTGTCATGGTGGGTGAGCACAGCCAAGAAATGCTTTACAGTTTTTCCAAGTTCTGTCCCTGCCTATGGTTTCCCCTGCTCTGGGACCCCCCAGCCCCAGGAAGGTGGGCTTGGGCTCAGATCAAGGCACAGCTGCAGTCACATTAAAGGGAGAGTTAGGGTTGGAGGGAAAAGTAGGAGGCTCGTCTCTCTCTCAGAGTGAGAAGAGGTGGAATGCTGTGTCCACTTATTCAACCGACATTTACTGAGCAGTGACTGTGCACCAGACCCTGGGCTAGATACTGGGGTTATAGTTGGGAACATGACGGAAATAGTTTGTCTCTATGCTGCTCATGGTCCATATTGAGAGGCTGACATTAAATAATTACACAATTATTTAATCGTGACTGTGGCAAGTGCCATGAGGCCAAGAGCACGGTGTAGGGGGAAGTCTTGATTTAGCAGGGGCTAGGCAGCTCACTCAGTCCAGGCTTCCCTGAGGAAAAGGGACATTAGAAGACAGGCAATTTAAATTGGGAGAAATTTCCAGGTGATTTGCAGGACAATTCCAGCGAAACGAAAGTAGGAAGAATGACAGAAAATCACCACCTTATAACCAGCAATCATCAGTGAATACTAAAATATTAAAAGTGGAAGGTTGTTGCACAGTCTCAAATACCACTCACAGAGTACTTATTAATCAATTATTTAAAAATATCTTTGTAATGGAGAGAACTGGAGATACCACTTAACTAAGTGAACACCGTGAGTATCACTGACAGCTGGACAGACGGACATGAAATCATTCCCCATGTAATGCAGTGGGAGGGTACATGGTGTCGCACGGGCAGTATTCCTACCAAAACTGTCAACCTGCTTTCACTGTGAGAAAATGCAAATCCAGATTGTGGGACATTTTAAAAGACAACTGGCTTGGACTCTAAAAGATGTCTGTCATGAAAAACAAACAAAAAAGGTAAGGAGGCTGTTCTACATTAAAGGAGATGAGAGAGAGATGGCAAGCAAATGCGATTCATGCTCTTTGATTGAATCCTAGGTTTGAAAAAAAATACCAGAGGTGTGGCTGGCTCGGCCTGTAAAGCCTGCAGCCTTAGAGTCATGAATTCAAGCCCCATGTTGGGTGCAGTGCTTACTTTAAAAAACAAAAAACAAAAACCACAAAAAACCACCAAACAGGTTAAAAAGACATTTCAAGAACATTTATGAAAATCTGCTAGTGGACTAAATATTTTATTGCATTAGTGTTAAATTTCTCAAGCGTGATCATTCTTTTATGGTTTGTAGGAGAATGCTACTATTATTAGGAGTTATATACTGAAGTTTTTCAAATATTATGTCGTCTGCCACTCTCAAATGGTTCAGGAAAAAAAAGTGTAGTGTGTGTGTGGAGAGAGAGAGAAAAACAAATGTGCAAAATATTAACAATTGATTAATCTAGGTAAAAACAGTATTTCCATGTTCATCACACTATTTTTGACAAGTCAACTTTTTGACAAGCTTGAAACATTTCAAAGTGAAAAACTGGGAAGTAAAGTGAAGCATCTAGGAGAAGGTGTAGTGCTGGGGGAGAGCGCTTTCCAGTTAGAGAGAGTAACATGGCCCAAGCCTCTGAGGCTGCGAAAAGCTTGGCCAGTTCAACAGACTAAGGGAAGCCAGTGTGGCTGCCCCAGGGGGAGGTGGTGTCAGGGGCTGAGGATGTAGAAATGGACACTAAAGATGTTGATCTCATCCTAAGAGCTCTGGCAAGTCACTCAGGTGTTTAAAGTGGGGGAATGGGGGGTGTCACGATGGGATTTCAGTCTTTAAAGATCACTCTTGCTCCTGGGAGAGGACCAAGGGTTAAAGGTACCTTTGGGAGGACAGGAGCCCAGGGATGGGGCCTCAGTCAACTCTGTCTCTGTGGAAATCCAGGGGTCTTTACTTGCAGCCCTGCTGAGCTGTCACTGGGCCTGCTAGAGGGCACAAGGCTGAGGCAGATGAGCTCATGCCTCGATGAAGAGCCTGACTGGGTTGGAGTTGGGAGAACAAGGTCAAGGAGGGGAAACAGAGAGAAGGGCTCCGGGGTGAACAACACATCAGATACTAGGTTAGGAAGATGCCCTGCGGGGACTGGGTAATGGTGTTGAGGGAATAAAGGTGAGTGAAGGGGTGGGCCTGGAACCATGATGGGCTGGGCTCTGGGGAGGATTCTTGGGCAATGGTTAAAGGCTGGAGGCTAAGCAGATGAGCAGGCTGCCAGCTCTGTGAAGCTGGGCATGAGGTAAGTGGAGGGGGAGAGACTTCTTTTTGAACAATTTGCTGAGAGCTTCCTATTCTCTGGGTTCTGGGCTGACTAAATTACATATAATTTAGTTGTATATATAACTTGGTTATATATATTTAGTTTATATACAGTTTATACTTAGTTTATATACAGTTCAGTTATAGCTTAGGTAGCTCGCCTATTTGAGCCTCAGAACCACCTGCAGATAAGTGTTACTATGATTCTCTCTCTTTCCCAGCAGATAAATGCAGGGCTCAGAGGGGCTGAGAGACTCCCGAAGCTGCATAGCTGCTCACCGGCAGAACTGGAACCTGAAGGGGCCTCCTGTGATCCTGAAGCCCATATGCTCTTATACCTGGCACTGCCCTGGGCTTCCCCACGGAGCCCCTGCAGCGGGGAGAGGGAGCTCCTCCAGGATTTAGGAGACGGTGAAAAATAAAAGTGCAGGCGATGGACTACCTCTAATTGACCATTTTCCAAGCATCTCCTATGTGTGAGCGCCTGTGGCAGGCCCTAAGACGTAAGAGTTGAGAGACGGCATTCTTGCCCTAAGGAGTCTGTATTCGGGTGTGCTGGATGGGGCCGGGGCGGGGGGGGGGACGTCCCAGAGGCTGGGCTGTGGAAAAACAGCTCCCTGTAGCAGGATGCAAAAAGGGAGAAATCTGGGGACATCCCCTCTGACAAAAGCCTGGATTTAACGGTGTTAAAATATAAATACATATGTATTTTTTGACATAGTAAAAGCCTGTCAGCCTTTTAAAATACACATCCTATGTCCATATGAGGGGCTGTTAGGCAACAATTACATTCTGAACATTTTTTTCCTGCCACGGGGAAATTCTCGTGGTATCCTGCAAAGAGAACACAAAGAGGTGATAATGCTGATGGAGCTCAATTACTGGGGGGAGAAATAGACCACCTCACCGGGAATAAGAGTTCTTAATATTTTGTGAACAAGTTTGTGAACAATTTATCTAGGTGAATCAGATTTAAAAAAAGACAAGACACCAGTGTGTGTTGTTTGAGTGCACAAAGAAAAAAGCTTAGAAATAGACATATGAAAGTATTAAAGAGCTTAAGAGATTTGAGACACTCAACCAAATACAAAATGTGGGCCTTAATTTGGGTAAGTGCACAAATGAGTTAACAGAGAGACATATAATCGGGGAAATGTCAATATAGACTGGATTTCTGATAATACTAGTTTATTAATATATTATTTAGTATTAATGTATTATTAGTTTATCAATATTACTGTGAGTGCTTACATGTTGGAAAAAAAAAAAGAACTGTCTGTTAAAGACCATGAAGACTCAGATGAAATTATATGAAGGCTGAGATCTGTTTCAAAATAGTTCAAGGGGGTAACAGGGTGGAGACCCAAGTGAAACAAAGTAGGGCATTAGTTGGAGCTGGACATTGGGATCACAGAGGTTCATTAGACCATTCTACTTTTGTACAGATTTGACAATTTCCACATTCAAAAAAATGTTATTGGGGGGGCTCTCTGGGTTGTGAAATTAGAGTGCTTTCTCTTCTAATTTTTTCCTCTATTTCTCATGCTTCTATATCGAGCGTGTATTTTTTTATAAGCAGCAAAAAATAAGTTGCTACTTGCCTGCTGAGTGACGGCCTAAGCTGGGGGGGAGCAGGGCGAGTGTCTCTCTGAGGAGGGGGAGTGGAAGGGGACGGTGGAGCCGTCAAGGGAGAGCAGAGTGGAGACCAGGAGAAGCTAAATGGAGACTCTCCCCTCTGTGCAGAGACTGGGAACAGCTGCAGGGTGGGGCCTGGGTTACAGCCTGAGAAGGGACAAGTGGTTTGCTGGGTTCAGCACTTGAGGTAACAGCTGCCAGGACAGGAAGCCAGAAGGGTGACTGGCTGGAAGGGACACTGGCTGGAAGGAGGAGCACCTGGCAAGCAGGGAACTTCACAACTTGTCTTTCTCCCTTTGGTCTAGGCAATGTGACCCAGCACTGACTTGAACTTGGACTGGGTTTACTGGAGAACTCGACAGCAGCCCTGCTCTGAAGCTGGTGTGCCAGTAGCCAAGATGGTAGGGAGGAAGTGGAGCAGAGAACTGGTGGAGGGCCGGAACCAGAGTTAGGCTGAACAAGAGAAATCTCCCCTCTTCGTCCTCTCACTCCAATTGACTCACCAGAATGGCAGCAAAGAAAGAATTCCCCGTCAGTCTGCTGATCCTGAGAGGCCTCACCACAGGGCCTTTGCATATGCTCTTCCCTCCTTCCTTCAGCTGGTTATTTTATACTTAGCCTTCAGATCTCAGCAACACCTCTTTTCCTCTTAGATTTCCCTCTGCTCCCAGACCTGGTCAAACCCCTATTTTATGCTCTCACCACCAGGTACTGCTCTTCATAGCACTTGGGATAACTGCAATCTTACACTTATTTTGTATTTTGGGTTAATATTTGTCTCACTCAACATATGGTAAACTCCTCAAGGACCGGGAACAGGCCTATTTTATTACCTCCTACACCTAGAATACGACCTGGCCTCCAGGAGGTGCTTACTAACTATGGAATGAATGAAGGAGAAAAGCTGCAGTTGCTGGACTGAGCCCTTAATGTTCATTTCATCTGGGCCATTTCGGAATTCCGACAGTAATGTGTGTCCCATCCCCCTCAAGTTAACTAAGGAAGAGAACCTTCTCTTACATCTCCCCAAGAGCTCCTATGTGTATTTCAGGCCACCAAGTCTCTCATTTGATGAAAAGGGACTTGAGGCAGGGGTAAGGTGCTCAACCCAGAGGGCACATCACAAGCAGTCTATGGGCCTTCCAGTGGCAGCAGTGAATTCTGCTCCAGGACCAGTACACGGTGTGGGGTGGAGGTGGGGGGTACAGGGTCCACAAGCTGCCCAGTGCTTCTCACCACCTCAGCTCACTTCCTCCTGGAGGCTTTCTCTACACTCACATGAACTTGCTAAGATTTGCAACTAGACATTTTTAGTGCGATTTGTTGTCAATTTTCTGTCTCACCTGCTGGCCTGGAAGTCTTTGAGTTCAAAGATGATGTCTGCTTGTTCAATCTTGTAGGACAGTGTTTAGAACAGGGCCTGGCTCATAGTAGAGGCCCAATAAATAAGTGATGAATGAATGAACACGTGAGTGAACACATGAATGACCCAACAAATAAGCGACAGAAAGGCTGGCAAGGCCACTAGGGCAAAAGAAGACAGATGGGGTCAAGGGAGGGGCAAGGGCAGTCCAAGCCATTTGGCTTGCTGCCTCCTAGGGCCCTTCTAGGAAATGTCCCGGGTTCTGGATACATGTGCAGGACTGCAGGAGGTGGAGGCTCCACCGCATACCAAGGTCTCCTGGGTCCTTGTGGCAGTGCGTCCTCACCATCCAGGCATGTGGGGACATGTGGGCAGTAAGGGCCCAGCCAGCAAGGAGGCAGGGGAAGGGGGCCTAAGCTCTGCCCCCTCTCTCTCTCCTGGGTTCCTTGGATTCCTCCAGGCTCCTGACTTCTAACAGGGAGGCCTGGCCCTGAGCCCACCCCACTCCCCTCAGACCAACTGAAGGTCTTTCTACAGCTTCCCTCCCCACCACCCGCAGGGGGTTCCTGTCTCAGCAGGAATTCACACTGGATTGAAATGAGCAGCTGGGGCAGCCGGGATGAGAGTGTGGTGGTAAGCACTGATCAAAGACTCTGTGTGTAGGGGGGGAGGGGGGTAGGGGAGGGGGGGCATGTCTGTGCTGGCTTGCCCACAAGTACAAAGAAATAAGAGACAGGATAAAAGGGAGACGAAGAGAGATAAAGAAAGAGTAACAGAAAGAGGCCCAGGGATGCAGACAGAGACTATACACTTAGAGAGACATACAGAGAGAGACAGAGACAAGGAAAGAGAACAGAGAGGAAAGCAGAAATAGCAAGAGATTAAGAAACCAAGAGACTGGAGACAGAGGAGCACAAAGACGCTAGGCAAGAGGGAGAGACAGAAAAGAGGTCAAGGAAAAAGGGAGGCAGAAACAGAGAGGAGAAGAAACAGAGACTGAGACTAAGGAGGAGTCACATTTATTCATTAATTCCACATTTCCTGAGCACCCAGCATGGCAGGTGCAGTGTGAGGCACAGATCCGTGCAAGCAGACACAAATGGTAGGGACGAAGATGCAGCAATAAAGACAGAAACCGAGGCAGAGACAGAAAGAGAGGGAGAGAGATAGAAAGGGCAGAGGGATAAGAAAGAGTGGCAGAGACAAGAGGCCTGTAGGTAGAGAGGCAGGACCAGCTGCGGGACCTAGGGCAGCCTGGAGCCAGGGCAGGACCAGGGAGCCCCACCCCTTGAGCTACCCCCTCAGTCCCACCTCCAGCTGTGCAGTTTCCACCTTCCCCCACAGCTGCCTGGCCTCCCTCACCTGTTGGCTCTAGAGGAGGCTCCGACTGCTGACATGGCCTCCCCTCCTCCTCCTGCCCCCCCCCCCAGTCTTTGCCTGAACCCCAGCCCAACCTGGAGCAGGGGGACATAGGAATTAGATGGGTATAGAATACTTCCTTTCCACCCAGAGACCACTTTAAGACCAGGAGATAGGAGAAGGTTACCTGGGGAGAAGGGAGGGGCTGAGTGTGTGGAATGAGTTTTCAGAAGAGCCAGAGTAGAAGCCTCTTCCTTCTGGGGTCTGTGTACCAGCCCCCAGTACGCTAAAACCTCCCTGAAATCCGGAACTTAGGGAAGGAGCCCCTTGTAGCACATGCTGAGCCCTCCCCCACCTCCTCCCCCGTCATCACTGAGAACATGCCGCAGAGAAGAGGGTGGGCTGGAGAGGAAGTCACCTACCCGCTGGTGCCGGGTCTCTGGGTCTGAGAGAATCGCCAGTCCGTGTTGGGCGGGGCTTGCTGTGGAGAAAACAGAGGGAAAGGGGCTGAGGACCCATAAGCAGTCAGAATGTCACCCGAGCCCCGGGGCTGGGCAGGGAGGGAAAGAGGGAGATGGACACAGAGAAGAAAAGAGGATAAGAGGAGGGAGGGGCAGACTCATCTCCAAAGACAAAACGTACCCCAGGTCTCAGAGGTCTGAGGTACCAGAGGCAAAGAGATAAAATAACATTGATCTGACCACAGTGAGCAAACCCCGACTCCTTTGCTAAAGAAAGAGCCCATTCCTCCCTGCCTGCCTCAGAACTGCTGAGCTGAGATTCAAGGGCAGAAAGTATCTTCTGTGGAACCCAAGGGTGCAGAGAAGCACCCCCCACCCCCCCAGGAGATTTTCATGAGATTTCCACCAGCCCTAGAAGGAATTTATTCAGCTCCTCAGCTGGGAACAAAGCATCCTTGCAGCAAGATGGCCGCTGTTCTGGGTAACCCTTTTTGCGCCAGGTTGTGCTGTAACATATTCAGAAGGAGCCCTCCTCCAGGCCCTTGGCTCTTGACGACCCCTTCCCACAGCTAAACACATTATTAATTTAGGAGTCATGCCAGACTGATTCTTTGCAGGGCATCCAAGCCCCAGGACACCTCTCACCCCCAGAACTCTGCCAGACAATGCTGTGACTGAGGAAGAGAGAACAAGGCCGCTCTGTCTGGGATAGAGAAAACTGCCGGGATGGAGCGCAGCAGAGATCAAGCTCCCACAGCCTCCAAGCAGAGCCAGCTAAGTCTCCAGGGCTCCTAAGGGGCTGATCTGTAGTCATGTCCCACCTGGATGATGGTGTGGGACTTTAGCCAGATGCTTCCCTCCCGAGACCAGAGGGTGTATTATCCCATCACACACACACACACACACACACACACACACACACACACACACAGCACTCCAAGAGCCATCTCCTTAACCATTCTGAGGTGTGCTGGTAATTAACTCTCACACTTACTCCCAGAAGCAGAGGAGAAATGTATCTCTGATTACACTGGGGAGAAGAAAGACCAGAGGCTGCCAAATGACTCACTCTGAGGCTCACAGGTGGCAGTGATATGAGCAGAACCCAGAAATTTAGCATCCCAGGTACACCATGAGTCACCAGCACCAGTCCAGGACTGCCGTGGGGAACGGCACTGGGATGCCTACTCCTCAGCCTTAGACACAGGAGAATCTACATAGAGATGCAAGAACCATGACAGACTGGAAGAGAGTTGCTGGGCAAAACTCACAACCTATGTAAGGACGGCGGGTCCAAAGCGTGTTCAGTAAGGGCTGCTCAGGGATAAGGAGCCCCAGAAGACTTTTCTCTAACATAAAGCCCTAAAAGGGAAAGAATCCCATCTATGCCCCATCCCAGCAGATGAAGACTGCCCTCCTTCCTCCAGCTTTACAGGTGCAAGCGACTCAAAGTACAAATTCTGGAGTTAGACCTGAGTTAGAGCTTTCTCTACCACTTACCCTGTGAACTTGAGCAAGTCATGTGACCTTGGTGAAATTCAGTCATAAGGTGAGGAAGCTGGTATCTATCCAACAAAAATCTTGGGAAGAACGAGTGAGGTGTGGTACTCGGAGGAGGTATCGCAGAAAGGCTCTCTTAATCAGCTATCACATAGGGTTGTTGTTTCAAACTCTAATTCTGATTCGGTAGGGGCAGGGAGGAACGTAACTATAGTTTAAATAAAAGCTCCTGAGATTGTGGAAACTTGTGCCTTTTACTACTATAGTTGCCCCACATATGAGGGCCCCCTGGCATCTGGCAGAGGCTGTGGCTTTCCATCAGGCCGAGAAGGAAGGACTTGACGGAATCTCAGATACTTTGGCAACCCCCAAAGCCCTGACCCTAGATCACAGGAACACATCAAGGTTACGACGGAGCCAAAAGCCTATCTCTGAGTGTCCAGGGTCCAGGTGCTCCACGTTCCCACTTCCTGTGATAGGACAGGCAGTGACTGTCACTAAAGTCCCAGGCTGCCTATCCTACCCTTGGGCCCCAGGGTAGCTCAGCCAGCCCCCACGGCTTCTGGGCCGGAGGCAACGCTGACCTCTGCTCGGAGCCCCAGCGGGATGGAGCAGCCCATCCTGGCCCTAGAGTTCCCAGACTCATATTCTTGCACAGAGGTGACCTGGTCTAGCCCCAGGTGGAAGCAGGAAAAGGCTCCTGAGTCCTTGCAGGCCCTGGGAAACCACGCCATGGGATCCTCACCAGGGTGTGATCAGTCAGCTGTGAGTACCTCCGAGGCCAGCAGCCAGGTGGTTGGGAAGCTGTGAGGGGCCTGGGGACAGCCAGTGCATGTAAACTTGACAGCAAGCACTGGCAGTTAAAGGCGGCGTGCATGTACGACCAAGTGCCCGGTGGGGGGGGGGGGGCGGTGAGGCAAGCCCATTGGTGCATGTGACCAGTGGGTCTGTTCTGCAGGGAGGACATGCTTGAAGCCTGGGTGTGACCTATACTGCCTACAGATGCATTGTTTGACGGGGAGGGCGGGGGGCAATAGGGATGGTGGACATTAACAGTGAAGTCACGCATCAAGGGAGTAGAAAGAGGAAACCTAAAGGCTGGCAGAGCAAGCTGGCTCGGGGGTCAAGCAGGCTGGGTGCAGGAGTAGATTTGCGACTGACTCCACCCAGGACCACGCCCCCACTCAACCCTGGCCATAAAAGATTACTGGATGCCAGCTGGCAGGGATTGGTTCTACTTCCACTTACCTACAATCACCACCACCTCCCAGTACTCAGAGTCCTATCCCCACTTTGGCGTTCCACGCAATCAGTCCAAATGGTCCCCCAAATCAGGTGGAGTGCAGGCAACACTGAGCTCCACGCCCCCCTCCGCCCCCACGACCCTCAGCCCCACCCCGAGAGGAGCGGATGCAAAAAGTCCCTTTTGGGGATGGGCTGCTTCTCCATCGCAGCCCACAGGTGTCATCCTGTGGACACCTCACCTGGCTCCGCTCCTGCAGCGTATTGGAGCGGGACCGGCCGGCATCAGGCTCCAGCGCCAGAGCTGAGGGCTGCTGGACACTGAGGGGCCTGAGAAAAGTGAAGTCACTGCCATCCGAGGCTGGTGAGAAGCACGTCCTGTAGCAGTGGCTCTGCGGGTCCGAGGGCCGCAGCGTCACCTCCATGTACTTGAGCGTGCCGTCTGAGCTCAGCTGCAGGTTGGGACTAGACTGCTTATAGAAGTCCCGAGAGGGGGAGTCCTGGGGCCTGCAGCATTGGCTCCCACCCGCATCCGCAGCTGTGTGCCCCCGAAGGCACTTAGCTGACAGAAAGGTGAAGGTGACTAAGGATAAGAGACTGATGCCTGCAAGAGCCACAATGAGGTAAAGGGTAAGGTCTGAACGCTCAGGAGGGTGTGAGAGGAAATCGTTGGACCTGGGCATTTCCTCGGGATCCTCGTCCTCCAGAACCAGCAGCACCGTGGCTG